TTGAAGTTTTCTGGCAAATTCTTTTCTCTTTTGCTTTTTCTATTTTTCTTGATTTTGTTGTGTTCACGTTATTCGCCGACAAGCAGCATTGTACTATTAGGTGTGCAAAACATGTAGCAACTCTGGGTAAATGTATAAAAGAAATACTTTGTTATACAACCGTTATATTTGAAATTTATAGTGAGCACAATAAACAAACACATCATATGTGAGTCTTTGTCGATTTTTCTAGATTATAGATCAGACTATAGAATAATGTATAGGCTGGACTATAGACTACTGACTAGACTATATTGTAGACTAGATCACCCTATTGACTAGACTATAGACTAGACTATGGACTTGACTATAGCCTAGACTATAAACTAGACTATAAAAGAAACTTTAGATTAGACTGTCGAATAGACTATAGACTAGACTATAAACTAGACTATAGACTAGACTATAGACTAGACTATAAACTAGACAATAGACTAGACTATAGACTAGACTATAGACTAGACTATTGACTAGACTATAGACTAGACTATAGACTAGACTATAGACTAGACTATAGACTAGACTATAGACAGACTATAGACTAGAATATAGACTAGACTATAGACTAGACTATAGACTAGACTATAGACTAGACTATAGACTAGACTATAGACTAGACTATAGACTAGACTAGACTATAGACTAGACTATAGACTAGACTAGACTATAGACTAGACTATAGACTAGACTATAGACTAGACTATAGACTAGACTATAGACTAGACTATAGACTAGACTATAGACTAGACTATAGACTAGACTATAGACTAGACTATAGACAAGACTATAGGACAAAAATACAAACTTGACTACACAATATATATATTTATTAGATTATAGACTAGACTATAGCCTAGACTATAGACAAGACTATAGATTAGACTATAGACTAGACTATAGAATAAACTTTGGGCTAGACTATAGACTGAATTATAGACTAGACTATAAACTAGACTATTGACTATACTATAGACTAGACTATGGACTAGACTATAGACTATGGACTAGACTATAGTATAGGCTAGAGTATAAATAGAATAGACTAGAGTATACACTAGACTCTAGACTAGAGTATACACTAGACTCTATACTAGACTATAGACAAGACTACAGATTAGACTATAGACTAAACTATAGACTAAACTTTAAGCTAGACTGTAGACTATACTATAGACTAGACTATAAACTAGACTATAGACTAGACTATAGACTAAGCTATAGACTAGACTAGACTATAGACTAGAATATAGACTAGACTATAGACTAGACTATAGACGAAACTTTAAGCTAGACAGTAGACTGGACTATAAACTAGACTATAAACTAGACTATAGCCTAGACTATAGACTAGACTATAGACTAGACTATAGACTAGACTATAGACTAGACTATAGACTAGACTATAGACTAGACTATAGACTAGACTATAGACTAGACTATAGACTAGACTATAGACTAGACTATAGACTAGACTATAGACTAGACTATAGACTAGACTATAGACTAGACTATAGACTAGACCATAGACTAGACTATAGACTAGACTATAGACTAGACTATAGACTAGACTATAGACTAGACTATAGACTAGACAATAGACTAGACTATAGACTAGACTATAGACTAGACTATAGACTATAAACTATAGACAAGACCATAAACTAGAATATAGACAAGACTATAGACTAGACTATAGACTAGACTATAGATTAGACTATAGACTAGACTATAGACTAGACTATAGACTAGACTATAGACTAGAGACTAGACTATAGACTAGACTATAGACTAGACTATAGACTAGACTATAGACTAGACTATAGACTAGACTATAGACTAGACTATAGACTAGACTAGACTAGACTAGACTATAGACTAGACTATAGACTAGACAATAGACTAGACTATAGACTAGACTATAGACTAGACAATAGACTAGACTATAGACTGGACTATAGACTAGACTATAGACTAGACAATAGACTAGACTATAGACTAGACTATAGACTAGACTATAGACTAGACTATAGACTAGACTAGACTCGACCATAGACTAGACCACAGACTGGGCTATAGGACAAGAATATAAACTTGGCTATACTATATACTAGAATATATATTAGATTATAGACTATATATTAGACTATAGACTAGACTATAGACTAGACTATAGACTAGACTATAGATTAGACTATAGACTAGACTGTAGACTAGACTATAGACAAGACTATAGACTAGACTATAGCTTATACTAAAGACTGGACTACAGATTATGCTATAGATTAAATTATAGGCTAGACTATAGATTTGACTATAGACTAGATTATAGACTAGACTATAGACTAGACTATAGATTAAACTATGGACTCGACTATAGACTAGATTATTGAATAAGCTATAGTCTAGACTATAGACTAGACTGTAGACTAGACTATAGATTATAATATAGACAATAGATTAGACTATAGACTAGGCTATAGACTGGACTATAGACTAGACTAAAGTCTAGACCATAGACTAACCTATAGACTACCAAGTAACCAACTAACGAAGTAACTAACTAACTAACTAACTAACTAACTACTAACTAACTAACTAACTAACTAACTAACTAACTAACTAACTAACTAACTAACTAACTAACTAACTAACTAACTAACTAACTAACTAACTAACTAACTAACTAACTAACTAACTACTAACTAACTAACTAACTACTAACTAACTAACTACTAACTAACTAACTAACTAACTACTAACTAACTAACTAACTAACTAACTAACTAACTAACTAACTAACTAACTAACTAACTAACTACTACTAACTACTAACTAACTAACTAACTAACTAACTAACTAACTAACTAACTAACTAACTAACTAACTAACTAACTAACTAACTAACTAACTACTAACTAACTAACTAACTAACTAACTAACTAACTAACTAACTAACTACTAACTAACTAACTAACTAACTAACTAACTAACTAACTAACTAACTAACTAACTAACTAACTAACTAACTACTAACTAACTAACTAACTAACTAACTAACTAACTAACTAACTAACTAACTACTAACTAACTAACTACTAACTAACTAACTAACTAACTAACTAACTAACTAACTAACTAACTAACTAACTAACTAACTAACTAACTAACTAACTAACTACTAACTAACTAACTAACTAACTAACTAACTAACTAACTAACTAACTAACTAACTAACTAACTAACTAACTAACTAACTAACTAACTAACTAACTAACTAACTAACTAACTAACTAACTAACTAACTAACTAACTAACTAACTAACTAACTAACTAACTAACTAACTAACTAACTAACTAACTAACTAACTAACTAACTAACTAACTAACTAACTAACTAACTAACTAACTAACTAACTAACTAACTAACTAACTAACTAACTAACTAACTAACTAACTAACTAACTACTAACTAACTAACTAACTAACTAACTAACTAACTAACTAACTAACTAACTAACTAACTAACTAACTAACTAACTAACTAACTAACTAACTACTAACTAACTAACTAACTAACTAACTAACTACTAACTAACTACTAACTAACTAACTAACTAACTAACTAACTAACTAACTAACTAACTAACTAACTAACTAACTAACTAACTAACTAACTAACTAACTAACTAACTAACTAACTAACTAACTAACTAACTAACTAACTAACTAACTAACTAACTAACTAACTAACTAACTAACTAACTAACTAACTAACTAACTAACTAACTAACTAACTAACTAACTAACTAACTAACTAACTAACTAAACTAACTAACTAACTAACTAACTAACTAACTAACTAACTAACTAACTAACTAACTAACTAACTAACTAACTAACTAACTACTAACTAACTAACTAACTAACTAACTACTAACTAACTAACTAACTAACTAACTAACTAACTAACTAACTAACTAACTAACTAACTAACTAACTAACTAACTAACTAACTAACTAACTAACGAACTAACTAACTAACTAACTAACTAACTACTAACTAACTAACTAACTAACTAACTAACTAACTAACTAACTAACTAACTAACTAACTAACTAACTAACTAACTAACTAACTAACTAACTAACTAACTAACTAACTAACTAACTAACTAACTAACTAACTAACTAACTAACTAACTAACTAACTAACTAACTAACTAACTAACTAACTAACCTAACTAACTAACTAACTAACTAACTAACTAACTAACTAACTAACTAACTAACTAACTAACTAACTAACTAACTAACTAACTAACTAACTAACTAACTAACTAACTAGCTAACTAACTAACAAACTAACTAATAGACTACTTTAGTCCAACAAAACATTGGGGTTGTAATCTGTAACAACAAAAATTGAGTCATTTTAAATAAAAGCAATCTGCAGACCAAGTCAAATTTATTATTTCGTCAACAAATATTTAATCAAAAAAAATCAATTAAATTTACCAGGAATTATTCATGAGTTTACACTTATAATAAAGAGAAATCGGTACTTCTTAAAAATTCACTTATATTCCCAATTAATTAACACTTTTACGAATAAAATCTGTCGTTAAACTTAAAAAACAAGACAAATGTTAATATTAAACAGAATTTATTATTTGTTTAATGATTTATTTACTATAACGTATTTATGGATTTCATTTTATCAAATATTTTTTTTTTAAATACTACAAACAAATTACATTTATTTAACCTAAAAATATTGACTAAATAGCAAAAATTAACACTTAAAAAATAAATTAAAAGTTTAGGCAAAATTAGTTTAACTTAAAACAGAGAGAATTTAACAGGGAAAGGTATTAGTTAGAACAAAACAGCACCATAAGTATTGTGACTTTATGGTGTATAACTTATGGAGGAGTAAGCTTTCAAATAAGATAACTTACAAAAAGTTTACAAAATAGATATATTTTTTAAAAAATGTTTGGATATAATGTCTATGCACAGCACTTAAATTTTATAGAAAATACTCTAAATTATAATGAAACAAGTTGTGTTTAGTAGAGAACAAAATTTCGAGTTTTGTGGGCTTTCCTTTTCAATAGAAAGGAATTTCTATAAAACGTTAGCAAAGTTTCCCCTCTAGGTTTTACTCTATGAAGTTTTCTTTTAAAACACAAACAAATTACTTTTGTCAAATACTTTAGTTTCGTTTCACAGTTTTGTATTAACAATTTCCTCCTTGGAAGCAGTATTATCAAGTTCATTCCATTTCTGGATTTTACCCGAACCAAATATCCAGTAAATAAAGGCGGGTATTATGTAGGCAGCAGCTCCAATGATGAAAACATAATGCCACTGTTCAATGGTGTTCTGTAAGGGTAAAAAATGAGATTTATTTAAACAAATCAAAGGGAAACAAAAAGTTTTCTATACTAACGTTTTCTTTGGTAAAAGCGGCCACTATAATAGGAGAGAAAATACCGGGTGTAGTGCCCACACAGTTAATAATACCATACAAAGTACCGGCATAATTGGGTGCCAAATCCTGGGAGTTTTGCAGATTCGAAGCAGTGGCGGCACCATTGAAACCCAAAGAAACAGTCATAATAGCCACACAAACATAAGGATCTTTACCAAAATAGGCCAAGATAATCAACAAAATACCGGGTATAACATGGGCTGAAATTTGAAAGCAAATATTAGTTTCAATTAAGAACAATAACGTTAATTAGATTCCAAACTTACAGGGAAGACAAAAAACCTTTCTCATTTTTGTAACGGACAACCAATCTTTGCGTCTTATTAAATCGGCGACGGCACCAAAACCAAAGGCACACAACAAACGAGCCAAATGTGGTAAAGAGGACAGGAAACCGGCAGAAGCTAAATTGAAACCCAACACTTCGCTTAAGAATTTGGGAGTAGCTGTAATCAGGAAGAATAGACCCCACATGCTGCCATAATGCAACAACATTAGAGACCAGAAAGGCAAGGACAAAACCAAAGCTTTGTATGGAGGCCAGCGCTAAAATTTACCAAAAATAATTTAAATATTTTAATTAAATATTTCATAATCAAAAAAAGTACCTTCTTAGTGGATACAGTATCACCCAAACTCTTTTCAATATGCTCCCTTTCCTTAATGCTAATAGTTCTATGGGCCGCTGGACTTTCAGCGACAAACATAAACCAGGCGCCGCATACAATCACTACAAAAATGCCCACCATATAGAAGGCCCAATCCCAGCCCATATTTTCAATAATCACACCACTAATAGGCCAAGTTATCACAGTACCAAAAGTGCCACCCATTAAAGAGGCCACAAATTTACCCTTCTCATCGGGAGGAGACCATCTAGATATCAAACTGTGACAGCAGGGATAGACAACACCCTAGAAACAAGATTTAAATAAAAAATAGCATCATATAAATTTTAAACTATTTTTGTTTTACTCACCGTCAAGAAACCTATGGCAAATCTTATAACCCACACAGCCCATTTATCCCAAGAGGCTGCCAAAGGTGTTAGAGCTGTTAAAACGCCAGCCGCTAGACAACTGTAACCAGCTACCGGTTTACCGCCTAAATTTTCAGCCAACATACCAGCTGGCAGCGAAGTGATCATATAACCATAGAAATAGGCACCCAACAACATAGCCTGATCACTTTGAGTCCAATTATAGCGGGGACCATACTGCAAAGGATTAAGAAAGGTATTAAAAAAACGGATTTAAAGTTAAAGAGATGTTAGATATGAGAAAATGATTACGTACACAAGGGCGCTTCGTGTAAAACATTTTACAAATGAGTCCAGAATATCGACTTCACTATACAATAGGTCAGACTTCAGTCCAGTTCTAGTTGAGTTCTTGTTCAGTTTCAATTCAGTTCCACTTCAGTTTTATTTGGGTTCCAGTTTAATGCTAGAACGGATCTTCAGTTCTAGTTAGTTCTAGTTCAGTTCTAGTTTAGTTTTAGTTCAGTTCTTGTTCAGTTCTAGTTCAGTTCTAGTTCAGTTCTAGTTCAGTTCTAGTTCAGTTCTAGTTCAGTTCTAGTTCAGTTCTAGTTCTGTTCTAGTTCTGTTCTAGTTCTGTTCTAGTTCTGTTCTAGTTCTGTTCTAGTTCTGTTCTAGTTCTGTTATAGTTCTGTTCTAGTTCTAGTTCTGTTCTAGTTCTGTTCTAGTTCTGTTCTATGTTCTAGTTCTGTTCTAGTTCTGTTCTAGTTCTGTTCTAGTTCTGTTCTAGTTCTGTTCTAGTTCTGTTCTAGTTCTGTTCTAGTTCTGTTCTAGTTCTGTTCTAGTTCTGTTCTAGTTCTGTTCTAGTTCTGTTCTAGTTCTGTTCTAGTTCTGTTCTAGTTCTGTTCTAGTTCTGTTCTAGTTCTGTTCTAGTTCTGTTCTAGTTCTGTTCTAGTTCTGTTCTAGTTCTGTTCTAGTTCTGTTCTAGTTCTGTTCTAGTTCTGTTCTAGTTCTGTTCTAGTTCTGTTCTAGTTCTGTTCTAGTTCTGTTCTAGTTCTGTTCTAGTTCTGTTCTAGTTCTGTTCTAGTTCTGTTTTAGTTCTGTTCTAGTTCTGTTCTAGTTCTGTTCTAGTTCTGTTCTAGTTCTGTTCTGTTCTAGTTCTGTTCTAGTTCTGTTCTAGTTCTGTTCTAGTTCTGTTCTAATTCTGTTCTAGTTCTGTTCTAGTTCTGTTCAAGTTCAGTTCTAGTTCTGTTCTAGTTCTGTTCTAGTGCTGTTCTAGTTCTAGTTCTGTTCTAGTTCTGTTCTAGTTCTGTTCTAGTTCTGTTCTAGTTCTGTTCTAGTTCTGTTCTAGTTCTGTTCTAGTTCTGTTCTAGTTCTGTTCTAATTCTGTTCTAGTTCTGTTCTAGTTCTATTCTAGTTCTATTCTAGTTCTGTTCTAGTTCTGTTCTAGTTCTGTTCTAGTTCTGTTCTAGTTCTGTTCTAGTTCTGTTCTAGTTCTGTTCTAGTTCTATTCTAGTTCTGTCCTAGTTCTGTTCTAGTTCTGTTCTAGTTCTGTTCTAGTTCTGTTCTAGTTCTGTTCTAGTTCTGTTCTAGTTCTGTTCTAGTTCTGTTCTAGTTCTGTTCTAGTTCTGATCTAGTTCTGTTCTAGTTCTGTTCTAGTTCTGTTATAGTTCTGTTCTAGTTTTGCTCTAGTTCTGTTCTAGTTCTGTTCTAGTTCTGTTCTACTGTTCTAGTTCTGTTCTAGTTCTGTTCTAGTTCTGTTCTAGTTCTGTTCTAGTTCTGTTCTAGTTCTGTTCTAGTTCTGTTCTAGTTCTGTTCTAGTTCTAGTTCTGTTCTAGTTCTGTTAGTGCAGTTCTAGTTCAGTTCTAGTTCAGTTCTAGTTAAGTTCTAGTTCAGTTCTAGTTAAGTTCTAGTTCAGTTCTTGTTCAGTTTTAGTTCAGTTCTAGTTCAGTTCTAGTTCAGTTCTAGTTCAGTTCTAGTTCAGTTCTAGTTCAGTTCTAGTTCAGTTCTAGTTCAGTTCTAGTTCAGTTCTAGTTCAGTTCTAGTTCAGTTCTAGTTCAGTTCTAGTTCAGTTCTAGTTCAGTTCTAGTTCAGTTCTAGTTCAGTTCTAGTTCAGTTCTAGTTCAGTTCTAGTTCAGTTCTAGTTCAGTTCTAGTTCAGTTCTAGTTCAGTTCTAGTTCAGTTCTAGTTCTGTTCTATGTTCTAGTTCTGTTCTAGTTCTGTTCTAGTTCTGTTCTAGTTCTGTTCTAGTTCTGTTCTAGTTCTGTTCTAGTTCTGTTCTAGTTCTGTTCTAGTTCTGTTCTAGTTCTGTTCTAGTTCTGTTCTAGTTCTGTTCTAGTTCTGTTCTAGTTCTGTTCTAGTTCTGTTCTAGTTCTGTTATAGTTCTGTTCTAGTTTTGCTCTAGTTCTGTTCTAGTTCTGTTCTAGTTCTGTTCTAGTTCAGTTCTAGTTCTGTTCTAGTTCTGTTCTAGTTCTGTTCTAGTTCTGTTCTAGTTCTGTTCTAGTTCTGTTCTAGTTCTGTTCTAGTTCTGTTCTAGTTCTGTTCTAGTTCTGTTCTAGTTCTGTTCTGGTTCTAGTTCTGTTCTAGTTCTGTTAGTGCAGTTCTAGTTCAGTTCTAGTTCAGTTCTAGTTCAGTTCTAGTTAAGTTCTAGTTCAGTTCTAGTTAAGTTCTAGTTCAGTTCTTGTTCAGTTCTAGTTAGTTCTAGTTCAGTTCTAGTTCAGTTCTAGTTCAGTTCTAGTTCAGTTCTAGTTCAGTTCTAGTTCAGTTCTAGTTCAGTTCTAGTTCTGTTCTAGTTCTGTTCTAGTTCAGTTCTAGTTCAGTTCTAGTTCTGTTCTAGTTCTGTTCTACTTCTGTTCTAGTTCTGTTCCAGTTCAGTTCTAGTTATGTTATTGTTGTTTTCTAGTGCTGTTCATAAAACATCGATTATATATAATATTTAATTTGAAAAAATAGTCCAGTCATTGCTCTTACGCCATACGACATGTTAAAATTCTCATTTAAATGTTCTACAAAGTATTATTATGTACTTTTTATATTAACAATTAATGTTAAACAAATTGTTTTTTTCCTCCCAAAATGACAAAAAAAAAAAAATACATTTTAGACCATTAAAAGAAAAATAACGGGTAATAAAATAAAAATCTTATCAAATAATTAATTTATAATGGGGGAAGAGGTACGTGTTAGTAGTCTAAACAAACATTTAGTAGTATTTTTTATGAACAAAATGATAAAGAAATGCAAATGAAATACTAAATAATATTTCACGCCAATTGATAACGAGAAACAGGAACAAATTTATTTACTTACATCTGGTAATATTTCTGTGGAATTAGCATCGGTATTCTCGACCATGGCAATAATATTTATAGACAAATTAACGCGCATCATGTAGCTCATCAGGCAGGCCATGAATAACATGACAGCTACATTGAAACGTTTCGGTATGTTGACTGGAAATATGAAAAAAAAGGAATAGAAAATTATTAAGAAAAAATAATAATTCGAAATTTTGAAAACGCTATAAAATTTTGTCAATTTGTAAAATCAATATATATTTTTTTAATATACCGGATTAAAAAGTTCCCATTTAATTACATTTTCATGTTTTTTTGTAAATAACTCGGAAAGATGTTATCAATAATTTTAAATTAAAATAATCATCTGAAATTTATTTTGGAAATGATTTTTCTTTTAAAAACATGCAATATTTTAGCAAACAGTAATTCCCTTCCACTTAAATTAAAAACAAATCTTTTCGAAAATATCTTTAATATTAAATAGCTACTTCTAGTTTTATTATTATTTCTCAAACTAATTATAGTAAATTATTATGTTAACTTTAGTTTGAACATTTGTTTTGCAACTTCAATTACAAATATTAATCGCAATGACAATATTTTGATTGCCATCTAGGTGTCATATTAAACACGTTAACTTTAAGTAAAAATAATAAAATTAACTATATTTAATATAACTATAAAATTTTTACACGAGTGCTAATAAAAAATAAACAAATTCGCTACTAAAAATGTTATTAAATTAGTATTTATTTTACCAATAAAATGTTAAAGTTTATAGCGGGAATTTGTTGTTTTTGCGCTCCAATTGTAATCGAGTCCTAAGTTCCAAACAAAATATACATAACTTTCTATATTTAGTTCTAGTGGGCGGAAAGAAAATAATATACAAATTCTCTACTGGGGAATTAGAACTGAACTAGAACTGAACTAGAACTGAACTAGAACTGAACTAAAACAGAACTGGAACAGACTAGAACTGAACTAGACTGAACTAGAACTGAACTAGAACTGAACTAGAACTGAACTAGAACTGAACTAGAACTGAACTAGAACTGAACTAGAACTGAACTAGAACTGAACTAGAACTGAAACTAGAACTGAACTAGAACTGAACTAGAACTGAACTAGAACTGAACTAGAACTGAACTAGAACTGAACTAGAACTGAACTAGAACTGAACTAGAACTGAACTAGAACTGAACTAGAACTGAACTAGAACTGAACTAGAACTGAACTAGAACTGAACTAGAACTGAACTAGAACTGAACTAGAACTAGAACTAGAAACTAGAACTAGAACAAACTAGAACAGAACTAGAACAGAACTAGAACAGAACTAGAACAGAACTAGAACAGAACTAGAACAGAACTAGAACAGAACTAGAACAGAACTAGAACAGAACTAGAACAGAACTAGAACAGAACTAGAACAGAACTAGAACAGAACTAGAACAGAACTAGAACAGAACTAGAACAGAACTAGAACAGAACTAGAACAGAACTAGAACAGAACTAGAACAGAACTAGAACAGAACTAGAACAGAACTAGAACAGAACTAGAACAGAACTAGAACAAACTAGAACAGAACTAGAACAGAACTAGAACAGAACTAGAACAAAACTAGCACAGAACTAGAACAGAACTAGTACAGAACTAGAACAGAACTAGAACAGAACTAGAACAGAACTAGAACAGAACTAGAACAGAACTAGAACAGAACTAGAACAGAACTAGAACAGAACTAGAACAGAACTAGAACTGAACTAAACAGAACTAGAACAGAACTACAAACTGAACTAGAACTGAATTAGAACTGAACTAGAACTGAACTAGAACTGAACTAGAACTGAACTAGAACTGAACTAGAAACTAGAACTAGAACTGAACTAGAACTGAACTAGAACTGAACTAGAACTGAACTAGAACTGAACTAGAACTGAACTAGAACTGAACTAGAACTGAACTAGAACTGAACTAGAACTGAACTAGAACTGAACTAGAACTGAACTAGAACTGAACTAGAACTGAACTAGAACTGAACTAGAACTGAACTAGAACTGAACTAGAACTGAACTAGAACTGAACTAGAACTGAACTAGAACTGAACTAGAACTGAACTAGAACTGAACTAGAACAAAACTAGAACAGAACTAGAACAGAACTAGAACAGAACTAGAACAGAACTAGAACAGAACTAGAACAGAACTAGAACAGAACTAGAACAGAACTAGAACAGAACTAGAACAGAACTAGAACAGAACTAGAACAGAACTAAACAGAACTAGAACAGAACTAGAACAGAACTAGAACAGAACTAGAACAGAACTAGAACAGAACTAGAACAGAACTAGAACAGAACTAGAACAGAACTAGAACAGAACTAGAACAGAACTAGAACAAAACTAGCACAGAACTAGAACAGAACTAGTACAGAACTAGAACAGAACTGATGAACAGAACTAGAACAGAACCTAGAACAGACTAGAACAGAACTAGAACATGAACTAGAACAGAACTAGAACAAACTAGAACAGAACTAGAACAGAACTAGAACAGAACTAGAAAAGAACTAGAACAGAACTAGAACAGAATACTAGAAACAGAACTAGAACAGAACTAGAACAGAACTAGAACAGAACTAGAAACTGAACTAGAACTGAACTGAACTGAACTAGAACTGAACTAGAACTGAACTAGAACTGAACTAGAACTGAACTAGAACTGAACTAGAACTTAACTAGAACTGAACTAGAACTGAACTAGAACTGTACTAGAACTGAACTAGTACTGAACTAGAACTGAACTAGAACTGAACTAGAACTGTACTAGAACTGAACTAGAACTGAACTAGAACTAACGGAGGAACTGACTAGAACTGAACTAGAACTGAACTAGAACTGAACTAGAACTGAAACTAGACGAACTAGAAATGAACTAGAACTGAACTAGAACTGAACTAGAACTGAACTAATACTGAACTAGAACTGAACTAGAACTGAACTAGAACCTGAACTGAAACTATGAACTAGAACTAGAACTGAACTAGAACTGAACTAGAACTGAACGAAACTGAACTAGAACTGAACTAGAACTGAACTAGAACTGAACTAGAACTGAACTAGAACTGAACTAGAAACTGAACTAGAACTGAACTAGAACTGAACTAGAAACTAGAACTGAACTAGAACTGAACTAGACTGAACTAGAACTGAACTAGAACTGAACTAGAACTGAACTAGAACTGAACTAGAATGAACTAGAACTGAACTAGAACTGAACTAGAACTGAACTAGAACTGAACTGAACTGAACTAGAACTGAACTAGAACTGAACTAGAATGAACTAGAACTGAACTAGAACTGAACTAGAACTGAAACTAGAACTGAACTAGAACTGAACTGAACTGAACTAGAACTGAACTAGAACTAGAACTGAACTAGAACTGAACTAGTAACTGAACTAGAACTGAACTAGAACTGATAACTGAACTAGAACTGAACTAGAACTGAACTAGAACTGAACTAGAACTGAACTAGAACTGAACTAGAAATGAACTAAGAACTGAAACTAGAACTGAACTAGACTGAAATAGAACTGAACTAGAAATGGAACTAGAACGAACTAGAACTGGAATGAACTAGAACGAACCTAGAACTGAACTAGAACTGGAACTGAACTAGAACTGAACTAGAAACTGAACTAGAACTGAACTGAACTGAACTGAAACTGAACTAGAACTGAAAACTAGAAACTGAACTAGAACTGAACTAGAACTGAACTTAAAACTGAACTAGAACTAACTAGGAACTGAACTAGAATAGAACTGAACTAGAACTGAACTAGAACGAACTAGAACTGAACTGAACTGAACTAGAACTGAAACTATAATTGAACTAGAACTGAACAGAAAATTGAACTAGAACGAACAGAAATGAACTAGAACTGAACTAGAACTGAAACTAGAACTGAACTAGAACTAGAACTAGAACTAGAACTAGAACTAGAACTGAACTAGAACTGACTAGAACTGAACTAGAACTGAACTAGAACTGAACTAGAACTGAACTAGAACTGAACTAGAACTGAACTAGAACTGAACTAGAACTGAACTAGAACTAACTAGAACTAGAACTGAACCAGAACTTAACTAGACCTAAAGTAGAACTGATCTTGAACATAACTACAACAGAAAATTTAAAATTTGTTCAAAGTTTTCAAATTCCGGGTTTTGTTTTTAGGAAAAGATTTCGAAAAAAAAATCCCAAAATATTTTGTTTACACTGTATAAATACAAAGCTTTGTATTGTGTAAATTTCGTTTTCATTTTTTTAAGTTTATTAACTATTATTATATTTATTTCGTATAATTTTAAATAAATATCACATATTTAATCATGTTTAAACTATTTAAACTTCCCCACCAACTAGAATTCAATTATGAAGCAAAAAAAAATGATAAATTAAATATTCACAATACGTCTAGCAACAAATTTATGAATATTTATTCTAAATATTGATTTTAACAATTATACACATGACACGAAAAATTAATTCACATGTGCAAAAAATATAATGAATTTTTTGTTAAAATTTTAAAGGTAATTTTCAATATTATTCAACTTATTAGCAGAGAATACAAAATAAAGTGTCATGTGCAATATTTAGGAAATTTCTGCAGTTTTTATTAAGGTTAATGCATAAAATTAATGTCAAAATATTTTGAATAATACTTACAACAAGGTAGATTTATAAACGCCATTTTGTTTGAACTATTTTCAAACTAGTAGCGGCTGTCTTGAATGCGGTATTTATTAAGGAATCGTTGGTTGAAAGGAAGAGTTAAAGGGTTATCCAAAAGTTGTTTTAGTTTGTAATAAACATAGTCCCAGGGTTTCCTCGCTTTTATGGCTAATTCCAGAACAAAAGATCTGTAAAAGAGAAAAATAGTTCAAAATTAATTTAAGTTTTAAAAAAATTTCTTTTTAATCTTAAAAGTAATAAAATTCAAAAAGTTCTTTGGTTCTTTGGTTCTTATCTCGCCAAAATAACCGGTAATTTTCCCATTTACGTCACTAATCTTCTATTTCCTATAAAAACTCCAAGAACATAAAAATTAATAGGTCTGCTTTTGACATTTTTCAATGAATTAATCGAAAATTAAGTTTAAATTTTACTTTTTAACTAATCTTTTTATAATTGCCTGAATTTTATTTATTTATTATGATTATTATAGTGCCGATATGGTTCTTATACTTTATATAGTCGCCTGACCATTATTGTTAGAATTTATGGCAATAATGTTCAAATATTGGGGCTTTATACAACGTTTTTTTTTAATTATTATTGGTTTATAAATCAAAAGTTCATATTTATATGATTCTTATAGCTGGATTTTTATCACTATATATATTTAGTGATTTTTTTATTATATTTCAATTATGGAACATTTAAGAAAAGGAACATAAAGATTATAATGAAACAACTAGGTTAAATATATTCATAAAAATTCCTAGCTGTACGTTCTTCTTATCAGTACGTTCGAATTTTCAGGTTTAAGACCCAAGCAGAAGCAAACCTTACATCGAATTCGATACTACTTTTGCAAAATGTTTGTATGACAGACAGAAAAAGTCAACGGAAACTCTAGACTAACTACCGCCTACTAGTCAAGTTAAATTATTTTAAAAATATTGTTTAATTTTTACTTCAATCATACCACTTATTGCACTTTATTTTCTGAAAATCCCCTAATCTGTACACAAATTTTGAAATAAATCAATTTCCTGGAAATAATTATCAATATCATTCAAGTATTATTGCAGTTAATAATCCAAAAAAGGTGAACAATACAAATAAATTATCAGATGATAAAACGATAAATCATTAAAGTTTTGAATATACTATAGTACCAATATTGATAAAATGGGCATGTGTCTGAATGTCTAATAACTAATACTTCCAATTCTTAAAATAAAGCTGAACTAAAACTGAAACAGAACAAAGCTGGAACAGAATTAGGACTAGAACAGAACTAGTACAGAAGTAGAACAGAACTAGAACAGAACTAGAACAGAACTAGAAACAGAACTAGAACAGAACTAGAACAGAACTAGAACAGAACTAGAACAGAACTAGAACAGAACTAGAACAGAACTAGAACAGAACTGGAACAGAACTAGAACAGAACTAGTTCAGAACTAGTTCAGAACTAGTTCAGAACTAGTTCAGAACTAGAACTGAACTAAAACAAAAATAGAACAGAACTGGAATTGAACTAGAACAGAACTAGAACAGAACTAGAACAGAATTACAACAGAACTAGAACAGAACTAGAACAGAACTAGAACAGAACTAGAACGGAACTAGAACAGAACTAGAACAGAACTAGAACAGAACTAGAACAGAACTAGAACAGAACTAAAACAAAATAGAACAGAACTAGAATTGAACTAGAACAGAACTAGAACAGAACTAGAACAGAACTAGAACAGAACTAGAACAGAACTAGAACAGAACTAGAACAGAACTAGAACAGAACTAGAACAGAACTAGAACAGAACTAGAACAGAACTAGAACAGAACTAGAACAGAACTAGAACAGAACTAGAACAGAACTAGAACAGAACTAGAACAGAACTAGAACAGAACTAGAACAGAACTAGACAGAACTAGAACAGAACTAGAACAGAACTAGAACAGAACTAGAACAGAACTAAACAGAACTAGAACTGAACTAGAACTGAACTGGAACAGAACTAGAACAGAACTAGTTCAGAACTAGAACTGAACTAGAACTGAACTAGAACTAAACTAGAACTGAACTAGAACTGAACTAGAACTGAACTAGAACTAAACTAGAACTGAACTAGAACTGAACTGGAACTGGAACTGAACTAGAACTGAACTAGAACTGAACTAGAACTGAACTAGAACTGAACTAGAACTGAACTAGAACTGAACTAGAACTGAACTAGAACTGAACTAGAACTGACTAGACTGAACTGAACTAGAACTGAACTAGAACTGAACTAGAACTGAACTAGAACTGAACTAGAACTGAACTAGAACTGAACTAGAACTGAACTAGAACTGAACTAGAACTGAACTAGAACTGAACTAGAACTGAACTAGAACTGAACTAGAACTGAACTAGAACTGAACTAGAACTGAACTAGAACTGAACTAGAACTGAACTAGAACTGAACTAGAACTGAACTAGAACTGAACTAGAACTGAACTAGAACTGAACTAGAACTGAACTAGAACTGAACTAGAACTGAACTAGAACTGAACTAGAACTGAACTAGAACTGAACTAGAACTGAACTAGAACTGAACTAGAACTGAACTAGAACTGAACTAGAACTGAACTAGAACTGAACTAGAACTGAACTAGAACTGAACTAGAACTGAACTAGAACTGAACTAGAACTGAACTAGAACTGAACTAGAACTGAACTAGAACTGAACTAGAACTGAACTAGAACTGAACTAGAACTGAACTAGAACTGAACTAGAACTGAACTAGAACTGAACTAGAACTGAACTAGAACTGAACTAGAACTGAACTAGAACTGAACTAGAACGAACTAGAACTGAACTAGAACTGAACTAGAACTGAACTAGAACTGAACTAGAAACAGAACTAGAACAGAACTAGAACAGAACTAGAACAGAACTAGAACAAAACTAGAATAGAACTAGAACAGAACAGAACTACAACAGAACTAGAACAGAACTAGAACAGAACTAGAACAGAACTAGAACAGAACTAGAACAGAACCAGAACAGAACTAGAACAGAACTAGAACAGAACTAGAACAGAACTAGAACAGAACTAGAAAAGAACTAGAACAGAACTAGAACAGAACTAGAACAGAACTAGAACTGAACTAGAACAGAACTAGAACAGAACTAGAACAGAACTAGATCAGAACTAGAACAGAACTAGAACAGAACTAGAAAAGAACTAGAACAGAACTAGAACAGAACTAGAACTGAACTAGAACTGAACTAGAACTGAACTAGAACTGAACTAGAACTGAACTAGAACTGAACTAGAACTGAACTAGAACTGAACTAGAACTTAACTAGAACTATATTAGAACTGAAGTGGAACTAAACTGGAAGTAAACTAAAAAAAAGTATTAAAAATCAATTTATTCATAATATTTTCAAAACTTCCTCAATTTAGTAAATTTGTTGTCTGCACTAAAACATGAAATATTGACAGGATTATAAACACCTTCAGTGATTTATGTATTTCTTAATTAACAATAAAAATCCCCTATAAGTTCTCTTTTGCACGTGATTCTAATTGATGGCAAAAGACACACACACACGCAGGCACAAAAATCTGTTGTTTTTATACCCAAACATAAATAAATAAAAATAAACAAATAAAAACCGTTTAAATATTCTGTTTCGAAATTTATACAAATTCTGCATAAATTTCAATGTCAATAAACTTTTTTTCATAAATAAATTAAAAAAAAAAAAAATAAATTAAACAATAAAATTAAATTTACTACTAACCGCAAACTAAATTATGTATGCAAAAAAATTGTAAAATAAATAATTGCATTATGAATTACGAAAGACCCAAGATGGAGAAGAATAAGAATTACAAAAATTAATAATGATGATTACAAACTTTAAGATTAACAGCAATGAACAAAAAGAAACGTAATTAAACAAATGCCAACAAATGTTTTACAATGACTTTTTCAATTCGCATGAAAATTACAAAAAAAAAAAGATAAATAAAATAACTATTATTTATTAACAGAAGAGAAAAAACTTATGGTTTTTACTGAGGCGTAACATTAAACTAAATAAATTTCAAATCTGTTATATAGAATTATTTTTTTAAAGTTTGAGAATTTTTATTTAATTAGAACAACTGTTTTTATTAATTGTGAAACAGTATAAATAATAATTTTATTAATTGAAAATATTAAGAAACACGTTTAGAACACTGATATTTAAATCATAAATTAGTGACAGTTTAAATCTATAAAATAAACAGTAAGATCTTTAAAATTATTTAAGAAAACAACCAAATTAATTTGCTTTCAGACAGAATTTAAATTTTTAATGAACTTGAAACAAATAATCACCTTGCATTAGATTCTTGCTAAGTCTAGTTGAATTCTATTTCAGTTCTAGTTCAGTACTAGTTCAGTTCTAGTTCAGTTCCAGTTCAGTTCTAGTTTAGTTCTAGTTCAGTTCTAGTTAGTTAGTTCGTTCTAGTTCAGTTCTAGTTCAGTTCTAGTCAGCTCTAGTTCAGTTCTAGTTCAGTCTAGTCAGTTAGTCAGTAATCAGTTCTAGTTCAGTTCTAGTTCAGTTCTAGTTCAGTTCTAGTTCAGTTCTAGTTCAGTTCTAGTTCAGTTCTAGTAGTCTAGTTCAGTTCTAGTTCAGTTCTAGTTCAGTTCTAGTTCAGTTCTAGTTCAGTTCTAGTTCAGTTCTAGTTCAGTTCTAGTTCAGTTCTAGTTCAGTTCAGTTCTAGTTCAGTTCTAGTTCAGTTCTAGTTCAGTTCTAGTTCAGTTCTAGTTCAGTTCTAGTTCAGTTCTAGTTCAGTTCTAGTTCTGTTCTAATTCTGTTCTAGTTCTGTTCTACTTTTGTTCTAGTTCTGTTTTAATTCTGTTCTAGTTCAGTTCTAGTTCAGTTCTAGTTCAGTTCTAGATCAGTTCTAGTTCAGTTCTAGTTCAGTTCTAGTTCAGTTCTAGTTCAGTTCTAGTTCAGTTCTAGTTCAGTTCTAGTTCAGTTCTAGTTCAGTTCTAGTTCAGTTCTAGTTCAGTCTAGTTCAGTTCTAGTTCAGTTCTAGTTCAGTTCTAGTTCAGTTCTAGTTCAGTTCTAGTTCAGTTCTAGTTCAGTTCTAGTTCAGTTCTAGTTCAGTTCTAGTTCAGTTCTAGTTCAGTTCTAGTTCA